CCCATGGCGTCGGCCCCCTCCTCCGCGTCTCTTCCCGCCTCCTGCCTCCCCACCTCCTCCCCTGTCCCCGATCCTTCCTGTCGTGCCCCTCCATTCGCCGCCTGTACATCCCCCTCCGTCCCTGCTCCTCCCTCCCTCGACCCGACCGCCTCCTCCATCACCCTCCCTCCCTCGCCCACCCCCGGCGCCCCGGCGGTCTCCCCAGGCCCAGGCAAGCCCCCCAATGGCGCGGCTTTCCCACCTGCCGCCCGCTTCCCGCCGCCGCTGCCTTTCTTTCTCCGCGCTTTCCGCCCGGGGTGTGGTGGCGCTGGGGTCGAAGGTGTCAACGTCCACTCCTGGCTCTTGGATTTTGCGCCAAGGCCCCCCTCTTCCCCCGCTGGGCTGTGTGATACTTGCGCCGCCAGCATCCCTGGCTCAGCCGGGCCTTTTCTTTTCAAGCCTGACTGCCTCTCTGTGCCCAAAACCCTGAATAAATGCCTGGCAAGCACGCCCAGGCTCCACACAACCATCACTCCCGCCGCGAGGTGCAGCTCTCGCTTCCAGGCAGGCACCTCCCGCAAGGGACTCAGGAAGCGACCCACCCCCCGACCCAACAGCTGGATCAACGTCCACGTGAATCCCTCCTGTGCACGCGAGGGGGTGCGTGGATGGGGAAAGGGGAGATGTGTGTGGACATGAGAGAAAAATCCTAATCAGAAGGGTCGAGTGCCGGGCGGGGTAAGGGAGGCGTGCTGGTGATAAAATCAAGGTATTGAAATGTTCCCTGAGAACGGCATACTTGACACAGGCGGCTGCAATGAATGTGCCACGCGGGAATGACGTGTACACAAGATCAGTCATGACAAGCAGAGCATTCATACCCACAAATTTGGCTATTCACCTCCTCTTGTCATATTCCGCGCTCCACCCCAAACGTACCGGGTGAAAGACGAAGATGACGAAGGTCAATGCAACAAATACATACATTGTATCCGTCCTGCTCCGCCGGCACCCCAAGCTGCCACCACCGCCATCAAAAAGGACGTCCATTGCGGGAAGCGGTTATCCCACGGCCGTGCGTCTCGATGGTGGGGAATATATGGCACTTTTCTAAGCCGCCAAAAAATGAAAGGAGGCGGGTCTCGGTTAGTGTGTTAGGGGAAACAGTAGGAATGTTTGTGTGCGGAGCTCCTTATTTTAGGGCCAGTATGAAACTGAAACGAGAGAAACGAATGCCTGGGGCATAGGTCTTATAACCCTCCAGGGGGCTGAAAAATGTCCTCAAATGAAGGGCACACCTGCGATAAATTCTCGGCTACATTTCAAACACAGCTCTCCTAAAACAGCACCGGCAAGAAAAATCACAAGGGTGAGGCATAGTATGGCCATGGGTTGTCGCACGGATCGTGCATTTTTTCCGCTCAAGCGGGAGTAAATTGCGAATGCCTGCACCATAGCTTCCTCGCCGACGCATTTTTTCGCGTTATTCGCCCTCCCATCTGTGATAAACAGCTAGGGATACATTCGACCCCCTCCGCTATCTTCAGCCCAAGCTCACATGCGAGGCCCATTTGTTGGAAACTGGTGCACGGACGATGTTTTGCAGCGTGGGTTGAAAAGCTGTCGGCAGGTGACAACTCGTGATTTTTGGGCAATAATGGAAGGTACAACGGTCTCAGTCTCAGGTCGTATCTTCTGCATGGGCACGGTTTTCATACTTCTGTCTGCACTTTCCGTGCAAGCCAGGTAATTATGCCCACGCACTGAGCGGATCAATCACACGTATGTGATTCCGCCAAACTTTCACGTATGCCCCTATGGATGCCATTGTCGAGTCCTTTTACCAGGTGTGGCGGGCATCTCTGAGGGCGGTGAACGGGTCGGAACGGGGCAATGGCCTTGGGACCACGGTCAGAGGGGAAAGCAAATCAAGATGGTCCAACCGCGTACATTGCACCGCAGTCGTTAAATACGTGCTTCTTAATTTTTCTTAAAGGATATATGGGAATGCGTTAAGTGATCCATGCCTCTTTTTGCCCAAAATTTATCACCTCATGCCTGCCCGTACGGCCCATGAGAGCCCCATTTCTTCCTCCCCTTCACTCTCTGTACTCCGATCTCCGTCATCGTCGTCATCGTCGTCCTCTCCTTGCCCCTCTCCTTTCCCATCTTGCGTTTCTTTACCCACTCCTCGATCGCCAGCGCCGTATTGGCTCTTGAAATTTCCGCCTCCATAGCCACTCTCGTCGTCCTCCGTTTCCTCCTCGTCCTCCTCCCCCTGCTGCCCCTCTCCCCCTTCCTCCTCGCCCTCCCCTCCCTCCTCCTCCCCTACTTTTCCTCCTCTGTCTCTCAACCCGCCCTCTCCGCCTGCGCTGCTGCCCCCAAGCGAGGAGATTCCAAACCGACCGCCCAAGGGCCCACCAAACAGGAGGCTGGATGTATAATTGCCCGAGCCCGCCCCTCGTCCTCGCCCTCTCCCGGTCCGGTATCTCCTCTTCGCCCGCCCTGCCTCCTGTCCGCCACCCCTGCTCCCCCAACCTTTGCCCCTCCCCCGCAAGCCCGTGGGCACCGTGCCCGAGAGGTCGAACTGATGGGGCGGGAAGGAGGGGAGGGAGGAGGAAGGGAGGACCTGGACGACGTGAGTGCTACCACTGAGGTCAAGATGGGTACAATGGGGACAAGGTAAGAACCACGAGGACAGGCAAGGCCAAAGGCGCTCGTCCAACGCACAGGGAAAGCCTCGCCGACGCACCACCTCCCCTCCCCTCTTTATCTCTTCAACTCTTCCCACCCCTTTCTTCCCTCCCTCGCTTCCCTCCTCCCTAATTCCCCCTCCCCGTCTTCCCCCCTTCCTTACATTGCACCGAGCGGTGTCTCCAAACTGGGCCCGGCTGGCCTGGTCGTAGGCCAGCGCAGCCTCCTTTTCCGTCTCGAAGCCTCCCAGGCTGATTTTCTTTCCGGCCACGGAAATCCGGGCCGACCACCGGCTTCCGTTCAAAGAAACCCCGATAAAGCCCGAGCGCATCCTTTCCCCTCTCCCACCGCCTCTTCCTCGCCCTCTCCTTCCCCTCCCT